AATCCCAAAGACATTGGTATTCTTTGACTCGAAGAATGATGCATATACTGCCATGGAAAATTGTCGGTATTGGCTGCAGCATAACAAGCAACCAGATGGGGCAAGTGTTCAACATTGCAACTATACCCTCAAAGAGGCAATGGATACGGTGAAGGTCTACCATAGCGACACCGCAAAGGGAGACAAGGAAGCAATGATCAAAGAGCTTCAGAAACCCGGACCGCAATCCAAGCTTCGTGTCCTCATGACCACCGAGGCACTAGCGCTCGGAGTGGACCTCCAGGATATTGATCAAGTTGTCATGTATCGGTTCCCCAAAAACCTACAACCAGCAACGCTCTGGCAACGCGGTGGTCGGGCATCTCGCCTTGGACAGGATGGAAAGATCGTTATTCTCGTTGATCAGTGGATACAGGGGCGTATCAAGAAACGTGCCGTGAAACGCAAGATTCATACAGAAAATGATGATCTAGCGGAAGACAACCCACTGGCCGATTCAGATGATGAAGTCAAAGAAGCAAACCCTGAGAGACCACAGAAAGGTGGACGCTTAAGTCATGAAGAGCGACGTGCTGTGTTGCCTGAATTTTGGTATCTCCTTGCCAATGAGCCTACAGAATGCCTCCGGAAACGGTTCCTGGACTACTTCAATGAACCTGAAGAGTTCAGATGTAATCCTCGGCGTGACCGGTGCTGCAGCAACTGCAATCCTGAGTATCAGCTCAATGATCCAACTCGTTATCTGTATACTGAGCACGGTCCGAGGTCAGGACAGATGGACGAGATAATCATCAACCAGTTAAAATATTGGTCCAAGGAGGTCCTTTCAAGCGCTTTGAACGGAGTGAAGTTCATACCTGATTGCTCAAGCATACTGGCAGAAGAACAATATGTCCATCTTGCGATATATATTGAAAATGCCACCTATTCGGAGCGGGAATATTTCCAGGCAAAGGATCTTCAGACAATATTGGGAATATGGGCTTTGTCGAATCAGCTTGCTGAGGGTCTTGTGGATGTCTTGAAGAATGCATATCAAGCAGCCTTTATGGCCACTATTCAAACCCCTGCAAAGAGGAAGCGTGTGTCGAATGACTCTAGTCAAATGAGTGAATGCAGCAACCTCACATGGTCTTCTGCAGTCACGCCAGAAAGCACCAGTCAACCAACTCCATCTCGGAATATCTCTCCGTGGGTTGATATTAACACGCCATCCCAAGCTTTTATGGACATGCCTCCTCCTTCGGCAACTCCAGTTCCCAAACGCAAGGCCCTCGGTGTGGTATCAGGAAATGGGCGTCGCGTGATGAAGGGTGGAGAAGACCTAGGTTCTAAGGTCTGGTAGAGAATGATGAACAATCCATCTGATGCATTCCATCAATGTGTGTCAGTCACCTTATAATATAGCGTGGGAGTATTATCAATGGAATGAAGAGAAGTATAGCTAAAGCTGTCCCGGCAGCAACCTGCTATTCAGTGTCATGTGTCATTCTCTTCAATCTCATCTAGAACAGCAATAGGAGTCGATGTCATCTTGCTAAAATCAACTTCTTGTGCCCACTGTCCGTTGACGACGAGGCTATTGAAGTTCTGTACGGCTTTGAAGAGCTTTTCGCCAATTGTTTCTGTGAGTATATCACATGGTTGAAAGCCTCTTGTCCGACCATTTGGTTGCTTTTGGATGCACTTCGAGATCTGATAAGCTAGATGACGAACATCCTGGCTAGCATCCTTATTTTGGTGTCGCCCATTGCTATATTCTCCAAAGGTAGCCTCCAGAAGCTCCTTTAGATCAGTACAGTAGCTGGCTGTGAGAGCAGTTCGACGGAACATGGTAGTGATGTCCAGATTTGAGGTCCGTCGAGTCGACATGAGTGTCTTCATATGAAGATTGAAGAACTCATTCAGTCGATCAATTTCGAACCAACCGTCCTCCGCACCCCGTAGATTCACAAGTCCGTTGGCAAGAATGGCAGTCTGCAGCTCGGGATCAGCTACTTTGGTTTGAGTGAGCCATGTCATATACAAGGAGAGGAAAGAATATCGGGTTTTCTTTGTGCCAGGGAAGAGGAGACAACATTGTGCAAAGATCCGCTGGATAATTCCAATGTCACCAAGTTTGATGGCAAGCTTCAAGGACTTGTAAGTCTCCATCTGCTGAAGGAATTTCGCATGTGCTGAGAACTCATAGTCGACTGGTTCTCCTTCTCGTTCACGAACCTTAGACTGCTGCTCTTTAAAATGGAACAGAGACTGGCGTATCTGATCCACAACGTCCAGGAATTGACCCCTTCCGAGGCTTTGAATCCAATCATCCACATCTTTAGCATCCGCGAAATTGACTGTTAATGGGACAAACTGATAGAACATGGCCGTGACGCGAGCGTCAAATGAGCGAGTAGCCACCTCTTCTTTATGGTGGAATGGACTTTTGTGTCCCTGTACGCAACCGAGACAGACCTTATTATGATGGATCGTCGATTCAACGGTAGGGTGGTCTGTCCCAGCATAGAGCTCAAAGATCATATCCAAGTAGTTCATACGCCAGTGGAACAGTCCGGGGATTGGCAATATCCAGCTGAAACGATCGAAAAGACGAGAAGCCTCCGCACGTTCTTTTTTGACGGCACGAAGGAGTGACACTGTTTTCTGATCTCCATAAACCAGTTGTAAAAGCCCATCAAGGTCTGTATCATCATCATCCCCCAGTTGCTCCAGAAAGACATTCTGAATGACCTTGTATGTCCCCTCTGTCGTGCCTTCGTTGTATAACATTGGCCCAAGGCTGTAGTGAATTGTCTTCTGCGCTTGCAGTCGTTTAACTGCTGGGAATTCAGGCCAGTCAATAAGATGGGCTCGCGGTTTCATCTGGCCTGGTTTGACGCACGCTTCCGCAGTAAATAGTTTCTCTACTGCCTCCCGATGAGTATAGCGAATGGCCTCTGCAATCCAATGGCGCTGACATTGATGGAAGATCTCATCATCCTGATTGCCTGGTGCCATGTAGATATCATGAGGACTCAGTGTAACCTCTGGATGGAACATAGATCGGAGAAGCCCTCCTGCAGGGATGGACTGACCGATACAAAGCTTGCCAGTGGTGGCGGAGATATGCTCTGATGGATCACGAATAGTTTGATGTCGAACAGTCTGGCTGTAGTCAAAGTTATCCCATGCCACAATGAGATTCCTGCGAGAAGCCTGGGCATTCTGTTTCAATTGTTTCTGTACACATCTTGGGGTAAGAAGTCAGCCAGAACATGTTATTCTCCGGTAAATGCGGTTATAGTACCTGTCCTAGTTCTGCAAGTTCCTTCCGTCTGTCCATGATAGTCTGGTATGCTGAGTTTATCCCCAGGCCAGCCAGAAAGCTAATCACACGTCGCTTGACACCCATTGCATGTAAATACAAGCCGATCAACATCGGGAAGTTGTTGCTTTTCCGTGGTGCAAAAGCGCAAGCCAGAATTGAACAGACCATCACAATGCTGCCCTGGTGGATCTTGGGTGTATCGCGATGGTTTCCTGGAGGTGTCATGATGCTAACGAGCAGTCCACAGAGCTCTGGAGCTTTCCTCTGCATCTGCGTAGCCAAGCTAGAGATGTCCATATCTTTAGGGTCCACATTGGACTGGAACTCGCCGAGTATATCTCCGTTAATCAGCCCTCGAATCTCGGTCTGTATCCGAGACACGAGATCGGATGCACCAGTGGCATATATGTCTTTTGAGACACTACCTAGCCGCTCAATAATTTCAGGTTGCCCATATATAGCGTCAGACAATTTCTGTGCTCGATACGATGTCGAATATCCATTTTTTTTGACTGGTTGTGCATGCACCATGTGGTAAAGAAGATCCTTGATTGTCCACCGGTGCTTATCATTAAGCTCAGCCAGTACCATATCGACACGTTCGCGTGGCTGCAATCCTGAGATATAACGAGATCGCTGAGTAGACGCAGGTGGTTCTTGTAATGGTGAACTGGAAGAAGGCCACTCGAGGGAGGATTGTCGAGCACGCTTTCGCGATCTAGAGATCATATTGGGCAAATCCGGTGATGCCATTCTTTCTAACAATGTCAGAAATACTCTCAGAGAGCTTGAGAAAACACACCTTGACCAAATGGTGGGGTTGCTGGCGAGAACCGGAAACTTGTATGTACGGAAGGGGTTCCCGGCTCAGACCACGGGCTGATGAAGCAACCCAATCGGGTTAGCGTGGCAGAATCGGCAGAATTCTGTCTCATCATTGGCTGTGGTCTGAGGGAACTGAGGTAAGCTAAAACTCGAGTAAGCTAGTACTGTAAGGACCGCTTTTCTTGACAGAAATCAATAGGAGCCAGCTGTAAGTAACTGCTCCACTATCCTCAACAGAAACTCTAATACACCCCTCTGTCAGGACAAACCCCCTCCATGTCCCGACATTTAGCAATCTCAGCACCACAATCTCGAGAATTCCTTAGAATCTTATGCCTATTACGGCACCGAAACTACCCCCATCAAAGCTACTCTCCACCCGTGATATTACCAAGCGTTTACTAACCAAGCTCAGGGGGCCACCAGAGGTGAGTGCGGCGAATTTTCGATTATGAAGATTGTCAGAGGCTTCGCGAGAACTCGAAAGTTGTCGCCACCCCTCTCCCACCAATACCTCTTCCCCAACTGCATCCATCGGAGACCGAAGTGGAACGCATCCGATGTTAGGATCACTCTACGATTAGCTATCCCTCACGGCATCACCAATCCCCAACCAAGTTAGGCCTTTGTCTACAGTTGCGATCCGCTACGAAGCATAGGCTGGATGTTGCACCTCAACAGTAAGTGATGGGGAATTAGGCACCAGAATCGGGTATATTTAACCGTTTTCAATCATTCACTTTACTGAAACACAGGCCATTATCCAGCTATGTGACTATAACTAACATACATTCAACATGCACTCACAAAGTACTCCTGGAGTGCTCAGCAAGTAAACCGATATACCACTGCCTTGCCGCCTTCATATTGTTGGGACGGCAGGCGCATCAGCACATTCAACTTGAATAATCTGATGCTCTATTTCCTTGTCGGAAACCCCAATCACAATCGCGCTTAACTGATGGCCGTATAAGCATGCTGAATCCAGTCCAATCGTAAACCTGCCAAGCTGCAAACGACGCTTTGCATCATGTCCGAAAATCACCGTAGTCTTGGATGCTAGCTGATCTTGCCACCGGTCCCATTGCATAACCCAGCTTTCTTCTCCGGGAATCTCAGCCGGTATAAACTCAGCCTCATCAGCCATCGTGCGGACGAGGCTTCGCATATGCATTATAGCGTGTGGATCCTGGTCTTCAAGCGGGACACTAGGAACGAGACCCGCGTGTACGACAATTAAAGTATCGCCAAAGGGGGATGTTAGGCTATGAGGTAGCTCGACGCGCAGGATTAAAGGCAAAGCGGCAAGCCAGTCGAGTTGGAGCGTCGAAAGTGATAATGCCGTACCGTGCGCTGTTGCACTATATCTCATATCAATGCCGGCTGTTGCAGACGCACATTTGTCAGGAGTCTTCAAATCTCGGACAGTATTCCCAGGCAGCTCCGCTTCAGAGTTCCCAGGTACGACTGAAGCCTTGGTCAAAACTTCAGAGTGTAGTCGACTACGCCCCGTGACGTTGATCTCTGCGGCCGCATTAAGAACCGCATTGTCGTGGTTGCCTCTCACTGCACTGGCGCCTAGCTTGATAGCCAGGTCAATAACACCAGGACTATCGGGCCCCTTGTTGACTAGGTCGCCAGCTAGTATAAGATGATCTCCTCTGTGTTTGTCGAAGCCAACTTTGTCTAGGAGTGCCTCCAACGACTTTCTCATCCCATGTACATCGCCTACAATAACCAAGCGTCGGCTATTTTCGGAAGATGATAGGAGGGGCTGCGGAATGAGATTTGTCGGTAGGTCTGAAATAAATGTTGCGATTGGGAATATCTCGTCAGGGACTTTCGTTGCAGCCATTTTTTTCTAGACTTGAAGGATGTCTTTGTTAAGAGGGAAAGGGAAGACGGAGACAATTGTGATCAGTGCCACGGTTGGGTGGAGGCTCCCCTGCTTTGTCACTGGGAAAAGTAACTTAAGTTAGTCAACTAATTAGTTAACTATTGGTACGAAGCGAAAGTAGTGGCCGAGTACGCATGGCTTCTGTACTGTGTACGGTTAATAGTCGGGTGAGTGCCGTTGGCCCGATCGGCCCGATGGGGCCGACGTGCCCCCACCCGACACGACAACAGAGCAAATCCTTGAGTGAAGGAAGGTTGATTGTGACCCACTGAAGGAGATCTTAGTGCACGATTTTGGATGAGATTTATCATCAACCATCTTCTGCGCATCCTGGGCAAGAGCAAACGAAGAGAATGGTTGCTGCACGATATTATTGCCAAGGTCTCACTGGAGATGTAATACTCTGGCAATTTTGACTGTGTCCTAACGCAGGATCAAAATGTAAGATTCCTAGTCAATTACAAACTGTCGAGTGTACGTATCGTCGTAATTGTGGTCGTAATACTCTGCACTGATATGGATATCTCGGGCCAACCGAATCGCTTTATCCGTCTTCCAATCACCGAGTTGAACCGAGATGCGAAAAGTGGAGCCCACCAGTTTTGACAGCACTTCGATCTTTGAGTACTGCCAGTCGCTATTCTGAGGGACTTTCTTCGCTATCGTCAGAGGCAGCGTGGGCCAATCTTGGAGTTCCCGGTGTAAGGAGGAAGAAGCTAGGGGAAGTAGGTATTTATATTAATGCGCTTCACAAGTGCCTGGTTCTACGAAGGACATCCGAGAGTTTCTTAAAGAAAACCCCGCGTATTACGTATATAAATTAATCATCAGGGCACAAGTGGACGTGTATCGAAGTAACATTTACACATATTAAAATGGTCTTCTCGTTCGGGGATCATGACAGAATATTCAGGTATCTCGAAACTGGCGGCGGTACGCTCCCTATCTTGCATCGGAACTGAATCTTTGACACTTACCCTATCCATACACAAGACACATCTGGACGTAAAAAGTGCGGTTGGATCTCTGCCATTATCGTCTTGAAGAAGTTCAAGATTGGCAGATACCTCAGAGCCAGTACCCCTTCCTCAAGTAGAAGTAGGAAGCGAAGTCAGACCTGCCTTTTCTAACATCGTGATTAGGTTAGTAGCTTCCAAGTGGGTGGGGGGATTCTCCCCATTCCCGCTACCTGTGTGGAAACTTAACTACTCTTTAACTACTCTTTAATACCGCTCGGGATATCTGTCATTATAGTCGAGATTCTCGCATGCCTGGAACATTTAGGGATCTTACGCTGTTCATGTGTACATCAAAGTTTGATGTCGAGGACGATCAACATATGTTTTTTGATGAGTATCTCTCTCATTCGGAGGAACAGGCAGCAAAAGAGGAAAAGAACTCAAAGGAGAATGATTTTGATCCAATTAGTGACGAGTCTGACGACGAAAAAGAGTATCCACCTTCAATTTATCCACAGTCTCCGATTCAGCCTCTTAAGTGAAACAGCACTCGGTAAAAGGCGAAGGAGGGTCGGAAGACCGTCCTCACCAGGAGCTGTGGAGCCTTTTGCTGCTCTGAGAGATCGCTGGTTTTCTAGTTCCGTGGTCCATGGCCATGGTAGCTCCAGAGGTGCCTGGACGAGTGAATCCTCGTGGTGTAACTACAATCATTCTCGAAGTCGGCGTGACATAGGCACACCCGATCGCTCTTCTCTGGCCCCACCGCGGCGGCCTTAGCGCGGATAAATTTATTCAATGTTCAATATTAAGGTGACTGAGAACAGTAAAATCCTTGACATTATTAGGAGAAGGCTGGATCATGTTAGGCTAGGCTGGGGTTGTTAGTTGTGAGAGTAGTGGACTGGATGGGAGCCGATGAGGGTCCGCAAGATTTGTGTGCTTTGCTTGATAGGCATGCCTTTAAGCACCTCACCCGCTGCCCTCACTTCCTGTTTCTCTCTTTCTCTCCACTTCCGATACTTTCGTTAGTAGGCACCGACTTGATCTGCTCCTTTCGATTTGCCCGAAGCATGCAATAGTTAACGTAGTCCACGTAAATTTATAGCCAACACTTTAGTTACTAAGAAACAGACCTAGACAGCCACTGTACTATAAAGCAGTAGGGAGGGTTAATAGTGCGACTCTCAATTTGATGCGACTGGTCGAATATGTATTCGTGATAGGGCTTGGATGTGAGGCTAGAAAATATTTGCTCCGTGTATTAGTTAAGCCGATTTCGAGAATGACAATGCTCGGCAACAATGTTTGCTGCGTATTTTCGGGGCATTTTCATATACAGAAGCTCGGGAAATGGTCTGCGAGGTGTTCAAAGAGCGAGGAGAAGTGTCGGCTAAGTAGGTGTAAGCGATTGATAGGTGGTCAATCAACCCCAGTTGAGCAACTGCATCTATTTGCAATGAGTAGTTCTAATTCAAAGGCGGATTTTAATCACAGAGTTCTATCGCAGTCCACATAACAGTCGATAATATCTCGCCTCCAACCTTCTCCATAACCCTCCGACTTGCCATGTTATACTGAGCCACATCCGCATGAACCCACTCTCTTAGGTGGTTTTGCACTTTCTCGTCCTCCCCTTTGGCGCTAAATATCCCGTCCAGATCCATTCCTCGACGCATGGTTTCCACTGATAAGCAAGGAGCAAGACCCTGGCCCCGGTGGCCAGGCTCGACATGAAGCGTTGCTAGAGCGCCATCTAGGCCCAGGAAAGCCCACGCGATAGGCATTTCATCCGTTTCCTTAGAAGAACAACAACTAGAACCTGAGCATCCATGCACGTTTTCTTCTTTGCCTGAGTCGTGGTATATTACTACGCTCGGGATACTTGACAATTGCTCTTTTGACCGTGGAATATGGGTACGACTCTGGATAAGGTCCAGCTGCGAGTAGAGGACACCGAATCTTCCGCGTTTGTCACAATACCGATAGCCCTTCGGTAAAGGTATCTCACCATCAGAAATTTTGGAGTTGACGCGAGTTTGTCGAAAGAAGTATTTCAGGTAGGGCCGACCATCAAATCGATGGATCTTTAGGCCGGGATAGGGATCTAGATCCACATCCGCGTCAACTATCGGGTGGGCGAATGACCCCGAGCGTAGAAGAAGCGTGAAAAGACCAGTATGTAATGACCCGATCAAAAACGCCTTTGGTTCCAGACTAGGAGGCGCACAGTTGGAGGCTGGTGATGACATGGCTCCGATTGAGCGCATCGATAATAGAGATGCCAGGTAGTCTGGCAATAGGTTGGCCTTGATATATAACAACATCTGCAGGAGCTGCTCTCGCGTGACGTCCAAGTGTTCCGGGCTAGCTGTTAGGGAGGACGCAATGAGGCTCGTGTTAATGGGGCCCGGGCCTCTAGATCCTGCTCCGTAGGACGTGGTTGCTTGATGCGCAGGATCAGTAAGGAGAGGAAAGATAGCCGGAGTCAATGTATGCTCTGCTTCGAGGCTAGAGTACAGAAAAATCTGGGTTTCCCGGCTGCGAAAGAGATCTACTCGTGCGGCTAGCCAAGGCTGGCTATGCGTAGGTGATGATCCCGGGGGGAAAGTTGCTAAGATTCTGGCGGTTGAAGATGGGTAGGCAATGCCATGTTGAATACGACGTAGAAGAGCGATTGAAGATGGCAATTGTGCAGCAAGATGAGTAAGGATTCCGATGTCATGTTGGTAGATTTGGGGCTTCAGGGCTGCCATGGAGAACAATATGCTGCTTGGTGTATTGCGAAGCTATGAAATGCAACTCAGAACTGGAACTGGAATCCTGGACTCGCATATTTATGGTTTTTCCAACTCATAAATCAGTCAAGCAAACAGTTTAATCCCTGGCTATGAATGTCACTACCAATAAGGTATCTCAGACCAGGGAGAATAGGCGAGTGGCTGAAGTAAACTTCGTGGCTTGGCTGCAAAACACGTCATCAGCTCTGCACAGTTCAGTGCAGCCCTCAATCCGTTGCAGTTCACTGATCTGCGCTAAAGCCGTGAAAGTGGGTCCAGAAAAGAGTGATTGAGTGTGTTTTGGTCAGGCTGAATTCGAGAACGAATGTAGCATTGGCTTGGGATTGATTTCGGAAGTATACGGAGCAGACGAGCCCTTGAGGGAGGCTATTAATAGACCATCAGACAAAGTGCCTCTTGCTTTCTACTTTAGCCTGGACTCGCTACTGAATATTGGCTCTGGCAGGACATTGTATTTCGGCAGAACTTTCCGCTCCGGCAGGACTTTCCACTCTGGCAGGACTTTCCACTCTGGCAGGACTTTCCACTCTGGCAGGACTTTCCACTCCGGCGGGACTGTTGGCTAGGCTACCAGGGTTATGAGACAGGTACGAGGGCCTAGTATCAGTTAAAACAACAGACATTTCCCAGAAACGAGTCTGGGCTAAATTAAAAGCAGCGGGTGCTTTGTATTATGGACTATAAATAGCCACTGCTTGGGCGTCTCCAGCTTACCAATACTGAAGTATTGACGCCTCAGTTGCACTTGTGTATATAGTATGCGTGCCACCTGTGTTAAGTTTTCAGTAGTGGTCAATGCCGCTGAGGCCTTGTTAGATACTAGGTACTCGTCCCTGAGACGCACTAGCTTGATAGATATCGTGGATCTTAGGGAAGTGCGTATAGATCGGTGGTTTATACGCCAGAGAAGACTAACTCGCCAACCGGGTCAACCATAACACCGCCAGCGGTTGCAGTCGCACCATTGGCCTGCCCTATCCGAGTACAAATATTCGTTAATATGTCAGAAGGCATGTTTGTGGTGTACAGAAAAATTCTCGGGAATGGGATTATGGTGCCTTGATCTGGTTGCTGGAGTGTCAGTCTTGTGAACGAACTTTAGTCTGATTAATCCAGATAAGACTCTCGCTGCTTACTGAGATACAATCGGGGCGCGGTACTTGTTGCACCGTGGACTGCAATGACTCCTTCTTATGCTACTAGAGTCTAAACGTAGACGGGGTTCGTTCAGAACTCGGCCAAGTTTACCCGCGACTAATTCTATTCTGATCAACTATTTAGGCCGGTGGGGGGAGGAGGGTAAGCAGTTAACAGTAGACTAAGCGACCCTGATGCATTCCAACCCTCCTAGGAGTAAAATCGCCCATCCCGAGACCACAAGGTTGATTTTTCGAATACACATTCTTTTGCCTCGCTATGACCTTTTTTGACATCTCCAGCTGTATCCTCGGTGCTGAGCACTGCAGAAGTGTGCAACTCTTGCGCTATTTCGACCCGTCTGCTTGTCAGACGGCCATCGAGTGCTTCCCTCTCCTCGACACCTTGTTCGTCCAGCAGTAGCCTGACCACCGCTTCGTGTCCACCTTCGGCCGCACAGGATAACGGTGTCCGACCCCAATTAGCCTTCGAGTCCGCCTCAACATCTTGTCGGTCCAGCAGTAGCCTGACCACCGCTTCATGTCCGCCCCCAGCCGCAAAGGACAACGGTGTCTGACCCCAGTTAGCCTTCGAGTCCGCCTCGACATCTTGCCGGTCCAGCAGTAGCCTGACCACTGCTTCATGTCCGCGCCAGGCCGCATATAACAACGGCGTCCGACCCGAGTTATCCTTCGAGTCCGCCTCAACATCTTGTCGGTCCAGCAGTAGCCTGACCACCGCTTCATATCCACCCCGTGCCGCATAGGATAACGGAGTCAACCCATCGTTATCGTTCGAGTCGGCCTCGACATCTTGTCGGTCTAGCAGTAGCCTGACCACTGCTTCATATCCAGCTCCTCCACCTCCAGCCGCATAGAATAACGGCGTTCGACCCAATTTATCCTTCGAGTCCGCCTCGACATCTTGTCGGTCAAGCAGTAGCCTGACCACCACTTCATATCCTTCAGCCGCATGGGATAACGGCGTCCGACCACAGTTATCCTTCGGGTCTGGCCTGATACCCTCATTTGCGAGCAGTAGCTTCATCAATTCGCCCTCCCCCTCCCTCGCGAGTAGATGTAGGATGGTCCTCCCTCCTTCGTCCTGATGCGTGGTATGCTGGAAAGTTAGGACCCGTGCGAGCCCAGGAGCCGCACATAGGAGAGACAGCAGGTCAACAGGCAGAAGATATTCGGCGGAAAGCAGGGTAAGTTCGATAGGGAGATGGGGTCCTACCCTAGACGCTCTCATTATGTCGCTTTCGTGGAGATACGGAAACGGTAGATATAATTCACACGTCTAACTAGGAAGCAGAACGACGTAAATGATTCAACGAGGAACAATGTTCAAGTATGAATGAGGTTTCAATTTCCCCAACTTGTCGAAGTGCTCCTGAATACTATCTCACCTGTTTCTTATGGTAAACAGGGTCAATTTGGAATACCCAGTGTCGGAACATGCCAGTATTAGCCCCTTGTAGTATATGTGCGAAACCAGTGTCGGTGGGCATGGCACGGTGACTGGATAGCTTTCTCAGGCACCTCATGAAAAGGTCAACTGTTCGCCACTTGCGGCCCGCGAAGACGCTATTTTCCATGGTGTATCCCCACCGGATCACGAAGGACACTCTTGTACCGCGTGTAAGATGGTTGTATTGTGTGTGTCACACACGCAGTTTTATAGATACAGGTCTGGCCCTAATGCATGAGTGGTGCTTGTCAGAGTGACAGAACAATACCATCAAAACAAGTTGCTCCAACAAACACCAACCTTACAGTCAGTCACACCTCTTTGAGTTTGGACACACCTGGTTGACCCACCTTTACACCGCATTCACCGCCTACTTCTTAAAACGTGTTCTACCTCTAGTTTCTCCTTAATGAGCGTCTTTCCCTAATTATACGGACTGTGCCACATTGTACGGGAGCTATTATTGAGAATAAGGGTTAGTACGAACTATATTAGCTAGAGGTTAGATGAATAGGAGATGTTTTTGGTCGGCAGAATATTAGGTACTAATGGGGCTGTGGGGCGAAGGGGTGTCCAAGCTTATGAGGCGTCATTGTATGTCTCATACGTAGCCCGATGATTGATTGGTACTGAGCGGCCCCTGTCTTTCTCCAGTTAAAGTTCAGACCATCGGTAAGTGGAGCCCGATCGTTAAGAGGACCACTAAAAACGCTTTCGCCGTGGTCGACGCTCCTGAGCGCGAGTCGAATGTGGTTCGCGCTCGCCTAAGATTTTTTGTTAGGATAGTTTTACACGAGTTTAAGTCAAGAGCGTGAGTGATGATTTGTCACAAGAAGTGCGACACCGCCAGCATTCAGCGGCCACCTGTCCGTTCCCTTCTTCAACATCTATTTTCGTAGCTTATTTCCTAAAATTGTGAGGAAGTGGCGTTGGTGGGCTTCGGGCACGATAGTCTCCGGTACGGCTTCCCCACTTGGCGCACTGAGACGGCCACTGGGCATTCGCTCTTCTCCTATCGAACTACTGTACTCTGTCAGTGTGTGTATGTGCGTGTTTCTCCCGCGGCGCACATTCGCTGTGTGACCTGTCTGCCAGAGAGTCCCACGAGAGTCGCTTCGAACAACTACGTTCGTCGATGACAGATGGAGAAAACCAAGAGGGGTTGACAAGGTTGATAGATAGCTCATCGAAGCTGGGGTTAAGACGATGGGGTGCGATCACCACCTGGCGACTTAGTTTCAGTGGTGATCACGCTTTTCAGCCCATCCATTTGCAGAGCGGGCCCGCGCAAGGACGCGTTTCCGGAGAGCAGTCATACGGTACAGTATCAGGAGGTATGGTCTACGGAGTATTAAGTATAAACTCGTAGTCGCCATCACTGGCAGGCTGGAAGACGATGTGCTGTACTCCGTAGTTGTGATATCGAGCTGTGAGGCTTTCCGATAATATCCTGGCTCTGTGGGTGAACTCATATTGTGTGCATCTATTTGTCCGTGCGTTGGCATCAGTCGTACTAGTCATAGCCGGGGTCACTTGCGCATGCTCATCTGAAGGCCATTATCATACTAATAGTTATTTTTATTTGCGGCGAGTGTGGACACAAGAAAGGATGGACGAGAGTTCCTAAGAGGGGTACGCATGTTCAAACAAAAAGCCAACCACGACAGCATACTCAAGAGTAGATACGGAGTACTTTTACTATGGAGTAGCACTACTACTGAAAACTAACCGCTGGAGAGACCAGAGACACCGTCCCTAAATATCTCTCTCCATGTCCTCTCCCAAAAAAAAGTGAAAAAAAAGAAAACCAAAAACCTGAGCAGCCATCAGCATCGCCGCCCCTTTCGAAATCTTCCATCTCCTTTCTGATTTTGGTCCTCTCCTTTTTCCCTCCTTTGGAATCCTGTCGTTTACCACCCCTGAGAACCCTAATTTGCCTTCTCTCCAACTGCCTTTTCCCTCCCATACCTACTTTATCTCATTTTGCGGCCTTAAATCCCCGCAAAAGAACGCGTCGCTTACATAACTGTCTTACCAGGTCCAGGTGGCTGTCCTCGCCTCCCACGTCATCCTGAACATCCTTGGATACCCGAACTCTCTCTTTCAGGGTCTCCTTTTCGACATCCCCGATTTCCCGAGTCAGTCGGGACGTCCCTGGATCATACCCTCACATCCGTCCCCGAAGAACTCATGTTGAATCACCCCATGTCGCTGTAACCGGCTTGCTGGATTTGTCGTGTCCGGAATCCGTCCAGTAAGTTTGTGCTTGTCCTCCGCTTCGGCGTTCGACCGACCCCGGCAGATGACTCCCATTCTGGCCCACGATCGCCTCAAGGTATCAGGAGAGA